AGCAGTCGACGATGAAGTTACTCTGGAGTCGGTAATGGGTAAAAAAGTAAATAACTCTACTCATTTCTTAAGTGGCTATAAAACTCTCAGTTTTAAGCTAACAACAAATGGTTGGTTGGTAAGTATCATTCGTTTAGGTTGAAGCTGTACAAATATAGGGAAGTTTGTAAGTACTTTTTACCGGAAATCGGGTTATATAACATTTTAAAATAAAAAAAACACTTCCGCTGTAATTAAGTTTAAAGTCGTAAAGCATATTTATGGTTTATAATCGCTTATTTTACTAAACACAAAAAATTACTTTTCTTATTATTTTTGTTTTTATGTAAACAAATAATAAACTATTGAATCGAGTTCAAACATCATGAATAGATTTTTTGCCACAAACACAAAATCGAAAAAAACAGCAATCTTCTCGCACCCAAGGAACACTTTCCATTCCCTGCACTGCCACCAAACATTTGCTTCCCCGTGGGAGTCCACCAAACAATTGGCAAGCTGAACCCCGACCTGAACGGAATGCCAATGTCGCTTTCTGCCAGTGCTGGCATGCACTTCCAGTTGCAGTGGCAGTGGCCATGGCAGTTGCATCAATATCACTATCAACCAGGGGCCAACGAAAGGGAAAGGCCAGCCGAATGCAGCTTTTGGGTGACCGCAGGCTCGGCTCGTTTTGCGCAAAGCAGATTCCGGTTTTTGGTTTGGCTCGGTTTGGTGCATTGGCCCAATCCCAATCCCAGTGCCAATGCCAATCTCGAACCCAGAGTTGCGTTGTCAACACCAGCAGCCGAATCGGCAGCAGCCAGCGCGGCTCTTGTTTATTAGTTGGAAATCAAAAGTACATCGACACCGCAGGATTGTAGTGGCCACACTGTGGTGGATCTAGCTGCTACACTTTTTGGCCTAAAGAGTCGGGCAACCTGTTTGCCCAACTATATGTGCCCGCAACAACCATCGATAACCAGGCCGGTTTCTGGCGCTAATGACAGTGAAATGTCTTCGATCTGCCGAGGCGCCAGCGAGATTACAGCAAGCGGGGGCGTACGGTACAGTAAGGCTAATGTTTACATTAACACGCGGGCACCGAAACAAACTTAAGTAAAATTATTTTTGTTTTTAATAAATAAAATATATGATCTCCTTTAAGTAATGATAATTTTTAAATGATTACAAATACTTTAAATTTAATAAGAGGCAATGAATAATATTTAACATACTATTTGTATTAACCTTGCAGCAACTCTATAACTATTAAATATAAAGCAAAATAATAATTATATAACTATAATATAAAACAATGCAAAATCGTTTATTCAGAATAACGAGTATAACATACGGACGGTCATCAAAGCTTAATTCAATTTTCCTAGTAAAAGCATTGCTTATAATAATAATAATTTATATACCAGGTAAAAATTTCTTCAGATTTCTTGCATATAATCATAAATTTTGTATAGAACTCTGGAGATCGTTGATGATTGTTTAATTGAGACTTACGTTAGGTGCATAATTATTTATCTTAATTTGTGAGAATCCGTATAAAAAATTTAAGTTGCAGATAATTTCCAAACTTTTCAATTCGCCAGTACCAGTTTGTTATACTCAATCATTGACGCCGATAAATAGCAGTTTCACTGCCATCATTCTTACAGTGTAATTTATCAATCAAAATTCCCGAACAGTGATCGAGTGTAATAAACTTGTAATGACGCAGAGGCAATGTTGGTGACTGTTACTGCGATGCTGACTTTGCAGCTAGTGTCGACGCACGCGGTACAGCGAAAGGTGCTCCAACTAATGGGTGTTCGTACACCCCGTCCACATCCAAACAGCCCGTCGCCTTTACTGGACCAGTCTGCAGATATCCGCAATCGCCAATTGGCATTACTGTGCGCATTTCGTTTTAATTGTTGCCTCGGCCAAAGTCAAATACAAATACAAATACAAAACACCCAAAACCGGCTGCGAAAACTGGCAATTGGAGTCCCCGCCCAGCCCCGCCCCGCTCCACTCCCCTCAGAGCTGGAGCCACACACACACACATTATTCAATTTGCTTATGATAGGCGCCATCGTTGAGGAACCCAAATCCAGAGCCTGGCTCTGACCATAAAATTGCGGGCTTAATGCAGTCGCAAAATGGGCAAGTCGACTGATAACTTTATGTATGGACAGATGTTAATGCTGCCTGATAAGTGGGTTTTGCCTGCGATTGGGCGAGGATTGTGTTTTCCTCTTGCAGTGCAGCCCAGGCTATCGCAAGTGGTTGGAGAAATCTACTAATTGGGCTTTGGGGGAAGTGCAAGTGGCTTTCAAGTTGCACAATGGCGAGCAGCTGGCCCAACACCTGTCATCTATGTATATATTTTTCGGCTTGGCATGATTTAACATTTTTAAAGCTCACAAAGAATGGTATAACTATGGAACAACTGGCAGTCATATTCCCTTTGCCATTTGTGCCAAGTTATCGCTGACGACTTTAAACGCTTAAAACGCTGACAATTAAAATCGTTTTCATTGCACATCGTTGGGCGCCAATAATTCCTCCCAATACGCGTGCATGAAATTTCACAGTTCAATTAATGCATTTTAATTTTAACTTTATTTTCCAATTTACTTCACACAGAAAAAAAATGGACGCAAGGAAGGCCAACAACGCGGCGAAAAGCGTGCAAAAGTATGAAAGAAAAAAACAGATCAGCCTGAAAATTGTAAACGCAAAATTAAAAATTGTTTTTGATTGATTGTTGCATGAAATTGGCTTTTGGTCTGAGGCACCACCGCACCGATTGGTCCCATTGATTGTAATTACCTTTTTTCCTCTTTTGCTTGTATATTTCATTTGCCCTGCGCACTTAATTAGCCGACTGCCACGCCCCCACCGACACCGCCTTATCCGGCTGACTGCGCTTTTTGGAGAAGTACAATAAGTAAATATGAGCGATGACGGCAACGAAATTAAGTGAATTGCTTTTAATAGATTTTTCCGCAATTTCTGTGATTTCCTTTTTGATTTTATTTCATTGTCCCATTTCATTTGCGGTCAAGGAATCCCCATGATTTCCTTTGCCAATTTTTCGACAATTTTGTAATGCTGCAGCGACAAGTTTTTCCAGGCGGAAGGAAGTCGACTTCAGGCGACTTCTGTTACACTTTTACCAAATGCTGATCCGGCGAAAATTAGCCAAGTAAGTTGCTGGTCACGGCAATTTATGGCTCGCATTTCCTCGGACTTCGGTTGGGAATTTTTCGGATTTCCTCGCCTCGCTTATGCAATCTCGCTCCCTGGCCTTTCATCATAATTGTCTCTGAGGTTTGGTGCGACTGGTGCGGAAAACGCCGGAGGAAATGCCAACCGAAAAAGCGATTTCGGCCCCAGTTCCAGTTTCAATTTTTCCATTCGAGCGTCATTGGTGAAAGTTAGATGTGTGTGCATGAGGCATGCAACATTTCTTTAATGAGATGCAGGCAGATAAAGAAGCTAACCGATTATGGAAGGCATAAATCGAGCCTAAATGATGGCTGGATCTATATCTGTGTTTAATAGGGGTATTAGCTTCGGAAGAACACCCACTTTCCCCAATTTTATCGTTGACAGATATTTTGTGGCTGAACTTGTTTGGTTTATATTCAAGAAAACTCTTCTTGAAATGCTTTATTTATGTGGAATATTTTGTTCTGTTTACTTATTTTTGAGATTTTATATACATTTATCGATCGGACATTTTCATTGGCAAGAAACACAAAAATTTAACTCAATAGTTTTAAAATACATTTTATATTTCTTTAACATAATTGTCTCTGAGGTTTGGCTCTTAGTAAAACAAGTGTTCGTTTTACCATAAATATTTTTGCTCAATAAATTTGAAGTGTAACAGCTTTTAAGCAAATTTAATAAAAAAGACACGTGTTTTTGATTTTCTCCTCCTTTTCTGTAAAACAAAATAAATTTCACTTATTGTAAAATATTTCTTTGGTTATATGTAACTTTGAAATACCAATCGATTTACTGCCATTTAAATATATATCTAGGCCTTTAAAACAGTTGCAATAGTTGCATTGTGAAATTCAAATGTATTCCCATTAAAATTCATGAAATATCTCAATTCAAACAATTTCCTCATAAAAATAAATATCTTCAAAACGCCAGTGGAAAAAAATAAAAGCGATATCATTAAATATGCAATAAATAAAATGAATTACCAAAGCATAAATAAAAAAGACGCATTTTAATAAATCAGAGAGAAATAAAAAACAAGTGCACCGCCGTCCGCAAACCGCATCCACATTAATCAATCAGCCGAAAACGTCAAACGCTCCACAACAACAGCGGCCTCATTAAAAATTAATGAAAATGCCTGGAAAAGCGGAGTAAAGCGGAGGAAAAGCGTATGAAAACAATGCGTTCGAAGGTGATCGAACCGACAGGTGTAAAATGAATGCGATAATTGCATCAGGTGTTATGGTGCAAGGAAATGCGGCAAGAAATTGTATGTCAACGAGCGGGATAGCTGGTAAAAACAGGTGGCAAAGGGCGTTTAGGTCATGACAAGGGCTTTCACAGGGGATTTCGCCATATGCCTTATGCCTTTGTCATTGGCTGGCAAAACCAGTTATAAAGTTTTCCCGCGCCTGCTTTTTTTTTTGTTTTTTTGGCAGGGTCAATGCTGCCGCCGTAGAAAGCCATAAAAACAAAAATGTCACTGCTCCAAAGGAGCGACAGAGACAGAGATTCGCTTGCGCAATCGCCGGCTGGACAAGTTTTGTGCTACACTTTAAGGATCGTAGCAGCAGCAGCAGCAACATCAGCAGCAGCAACATCAGCAGCAGCAACATCAGCAGCAACATCAGCAACGGCAGCAACTTGCAACCCACGACGATGAAAAGAAAACGAAATGTTCAGTGCCCGACGGTTTCACTTTCATTCGCAACGCGCACGCGCAGCTGGCAGGGTCGCAAAAAGAGCACCTGAAAACACTCGCCGAAATACACCTTTGTGCCATCCGCAGCTCAGAGAATTACAATTGTTTTAATCGAATAGAAAAGTGATTATAAGTGCGCTTTAATTGGACGGCAATCAATATAAATAATTGAGTGTTTTCATTTTATTCCGCTGCATCCAATCGAACCTACGGCACAATATATATATAAAAACTCCGTCGCGCAATACTTGATGGATGCAGGTAAATGAAAAAGCGAGGAAAATATTTTAAATGACCATTTAAATGTGCCAATTAATATTTCCTCTGTGGGCGTAATGCAAAAAAAAAAAAAACAATTTAAATGTGCAAATCGAGTTAGAAACGGATGAAATTGGTTTGTGACTCTATGTTCGATGAACAGGACTTTTGCATTTAAATTCAATGATTTTCAGTGAGGCCAAAGAAAGGTCAAATTCCCGACTAAACCGAACGTACATACGAAATGTCTTCCATTTAATAGCACAGTTCAGATCATTATCCATACCCAATTAAGGCCACAATTTCCCTAACGAAAGCTCCACTTTCTTGTGTTATTTGGCCAACAAGATAGCTAGACAGCCAGTTAGCCCGATAGCCAGATAGCCAGGCAGGGGACCTGCTCAAAAGAGCCCCGGGCCACTTAGCCATGAATATTGCAGGTGAAATATGTTTTGGCATGCATATTTAATGCCTATCAAAATACAGGCAGCGGCCAAACTATGTGAAAACCCGTACGAACCATTTTAAACGCCATCAATTTCAATTTTCCAAATTAAATGCGTGGTGCAGGCGGTGGGGGTAATTAATAATTCATTACGTTGCCAGTAGCAATGACATAAGCCGCAAGCAAACGCAGCCCCAAGTTCAACAACTTGCCAAGAAAAGCGACAAACGTTTTAGGGAAAATCTCTCGGCGAAAGAGAAAGAAAAGCGCCATCCGCCAAAAGTGCCAAGGCAGCCACTTAGGAAAAATCATCATCCAGCGACGTATCGGTTAAAATCAAACAGCCCGACAAGTGAGTGGCTATAATAGTCAGGAGTGTAGTGGATTCGATTCGAGTCGAGTGGAGTGGAGTGGAGTGCAGTAGAGGCTAGTGGATGGCCTTTGAAGCGGGCCCAAACAGGCTTGACGACTCCTCCATTTGTCGCTTGGAATTCGTCGTGGTCGCCGGGGTTATTCACACCACCACCAGCAGCACCAGCAACACCACCAGCACCACCATTCGCACACCAAAAGCCCAGCTAACTCTTTCTACTTTTGGCCATTTCCGCAACAGCTCCATGCGGCCCCACCGCCACCAACGACATCTGCTAGCGGCGGCAGCCACGCTCTGCTGTCTGTTGGCCATCATCGTCCAGCCGGTCCTCTCGGATGATCCCCCACCCCCACTCGCATTCGGACCCACAATTCCCACCCAGAACTCCACGGAACAGGCAGCCGAGTCAGCCCTGAGCGACAGCGGCCCCAAGGAGGTGAGTCCGAGTTTAGTGAAAGATTTTGACAGGCAATGAGCGTCGCTTTTGACAGCTTAATAAGCAGGCAGCCGGCCAACTCATCCGCGAGGTCATCGAAGGCACCAGTACCAGCACTAGCACTAGCCTGGGAAGGGAACTGCTGGAGGACACAGATCCGGAGAGGGAACTGGAGGCGTCAGTTACAGAAAAAGAAGACGAGTTCGTGGGGTAAGCCAAAGATCAAAGCAGAAAGTAAAGTTCGTTGAATATTCACATTCAAGGTACATTCATAATACTTTTCTTCATTGTGATCCTTTAGTCGAATTTCGGTGTACTGAAAGTACTTTAAATAACCAATTCGAATTCAAGTGGTTAATAATTCACCCGTAAACCATTATTTTTTGATGAATTGATGTCAAATCGGATTATAATCCGCATATATATAATCGCAGGGGCGAGATCATCCTAAGAAAAGAATTAAACAAATTAGACGAAAATGAACGAATTTAACTTAATTTTAAGTTTATTAAACCTCAGAAGCTGTGTTTTAAAATATAAAATATATACCTAATAACACTGAATAAAATTTAATAGTTTAATGTATCTGGCCTTTTAATTCAAAATTATATATTTCCTATTGAAAATAAATATGAAATCATACTTTTAACTATGTATAATATAAAGTGCGTGGTTATATATTCAAATATAGGAATATAAAATTGTATATTTGAAATTTAAATTAAATATAAAATCATACTTTAAGACCTTTATAATGCATATTAAAATGCATGATTTCATATTAATATATTGGAACAAAATATTTGAATGTTTTACATTAAGATGGGTCTTACGTCTTTTAAATACATTATATTTAAATAATTATACATTTAGTTAAATAATTAGTATAGTTATTTATAGTTATTTAAATAATTATAAATTAGTTAAGTTAAATTTCGAAATTCTAAATAACTAGAACAGCAATGGATAAAAATCAAATCGAAAAATATTTAAATTCCGTTTCTTTTTACAAGTGACTTAAACACAACTAATGGGTTCTTCCTGTTTCCAGTGTCCCAGGCTTTCTGCCCACCGTGCTGCCTCCGAGGGATTCGGATACTCCCGCCAATGGGCATGGCTACATCCAGTTCGACATCAACGATGAGCTGCCGGTGGAGGTGGCCCGTCGCCAAAGGCCCATTGAGCAGATTGTGACTCGCTCGCGAACGGACACCGTCAACGAGGTGCTGTCCAATCTGTTCCCCAAGGGATTCTCCGACATTTTCCGCTTTAGTGGAAACACGGAAGCATCTACATCCACCACGACGACCACTACCACCACTACCACCGATAAAGCGGTGGCGCGACCCACAGTGGTGGATGTGGTCAGCACCACCCAGGCCGTCACCACTGAAAAAGCTACAGAGGCTCCAGCTCCAGCTACAGCCCCAAATGCCACTTACTACAGCTACCAGACCACCGTGACGAAGGAGTACCGTCGGGAGCTGGGGCCGGGCCACACGGAGATCGTGGTGGAGCAGATCCGGGATCCGGGATTCCGGGACGGCAGCAACCACATTTCACGCGATGAGCTGCTAAGGATCAACCGGGCTGCAGTGGCTGCTCCCGTGTTGCCCAGTGTGCTACTCCAACCGGAGGGCGATGACAATGAGACGCTGGTGGCGGCAGAAAGTTCTCCCATCGTGATCCTGGGCGAGCACGAGGTGGAGCTGGAGGAGGGCCAGGAGATCGACGACAACCAGATTGCGGAGACGCGCCACGTGGGCAGAGAGGCGTACCAACAGCGCCTGCCAGCTCCGACCTTCAATGGCGTCGAGAGCTATGCCAACCAGAAGGGTCCTGGTCAGGATCAGGAGATCAATGTGCACATCGTGCACGACGACACTGTGGAGAAATCGCAGAAGGGACAGGGAAAGGTAGGAGCTTACTTTGGGATGATAACGGTTATTATACCCATAGCTATCAGAAGTTTGTAACGCAGTGAAGGACATATATATATTGTGGATCAGTATGACAATATATTGATATAGCCATTTCCGTCTGCCCGTCTGTTTCAATAGTACGCCAGCTCTGTTTAAAATCTAGAGATTTGAAACTTAATCAACTGTATTTTTTTTGTGTGTACGCAGAGCAAGTTGAAACACGGCAAAGAAAGGACGTCTATATATGCTTTATATGTTAAATTTTGCTGTTCTTTTTTTTATAATTTGAGTATAAATAGTCTGGTTTTTTTTTCCCTAAACTATATTTTTGTAGTTTTTATAACCTAATTATAGATATTAGATCAAAGTCGGTTGAATTTATCATATAGCAATGAGTAATTAGATTTTTGAAACCATCGAAATCATATTTAAATGTATGTCCAATGATCATTTTAAAGCTTAAAGCTTCTTAAGCTGCCATAGAAACAGTAAGGTAGCATTTTTTTAAATTTCGTTGTTTTTGAAGAACTCAGCTTATATCACGCTTTTTTGCTTTATATGGTTTTATATAATTTCGGGTCCATTTCTTGACTGCAAGCGCTTAAAACTTCGGCTGGTTGAAGATAACTTCCGATTCGTTCTGTAATTAAATGCAATGTATTTTTTAGGTACTTCAAGAGGAGGTCAAGTTGCAGGCGCCCCAGCACTCGCTTGACCACTTCCAGGTGCACAGTGAGCAGCGATTCCAGCAGCATCACCCCAGCCCCGAGGCTCCTTCGCGCCAGTTCCTCAAGAGCTTCAATCCCATCGTCCAGGGCAGTGGTGTTGGACCCCTGCCGAAGGGCAGTTTCCACTACGAGGGGCAGAGTCCTCCGCAGCGGCCAAATCTTCGCCAGCCAAAGGAGGAAGACTATGGAAAGCTTGTGAGACCTGCTGCCCAGTTGGCCTACCAACAGGAGTTCAGCCAGGTGACTCCACAGGTTCAAAAACAGCCGGAGCAGCAGAAGCCGGAATCGCTGCACACCAAGGCGATTTCCTCGCCCTTGCCGGCGGTGCCGCAATACTCCGGCTATGCAGGTCCCACTCCCGCGTCCGCCACACCCAATAGCCTGGTTTTTGTCACCTTGAACACGCCATCGCCACCTCATTCCTCGCCAGCTCCTCAGGTGGCTCATTCTCACACCCTCGAGCCAGGTGTCCAGATCACAGTCAATCATCCGTCTCCACATACGTACGTGGCGGAGGCAGCCGCCGAGCAATCCCAGCAACATGTCGTTCAAGCTCCAGTTCCCAAGAAATCAAGTCCCTACACCTTCGTGGAAGTGCAGAAATCCGTGAACATCCACAACAAACTGATCACGGAGAAGGATGGACGTCTGGTGGAACAGCACGAGACCATCTACCACCAGCCCTATCTGCTCAACCACCTGCCGTCGCCTGCTCCGGCTGATCCGACCAAGAGTTACTCATCTCTGGCCAAAAATCCCATCCACGTAGAGTACGACAGTTCGCCCCAAGAGGTGGCCATTTCGCATGCAGCCATTCATCTGGACACCGGCCATTCGGATCACTCTGCTCCAGGTCCCGTTCAGCAAACGGTTCATCCGGGTCCCATTTACACTCCGACTGAGCAGGAGCAGCAGGTGCATCATCAGGAGAATCATGTGCAACAGGTTCCTCAAGATCATCAGGTGCATCAAGATCATCAGGTGCTCCATGAGCCGCAGCTGAACCATGAACCTCAGATTCATCTTGAACATCTTGAACATCTTGAACACCATGACCACCATGATCACCATGACCACCACAACCACCATGACCACCATGAGCACCCTGCTCCACAACCATATCACGACCACGACCACGACCACAACCACCATGCGCAGCAGGTGGTGGAGAAGCATATACCGATTCCCTATGCCGTGCCACAGCCTGTGCCCGTGCCCGTCCACGTGGAGCACTACGTGGATCGTCCCTATCCGGTGGAGACGATTGTGGAGCACCCCGTGCCCTATCCCGTCGAGCGGGTGGTGGAGAAGATCGTGGAGAAGCACGTGCCCGTGGAGGTGGAGCGCATTGTAGAGAGGCCCGTGCATGTGGAGAAGATTGTGGAGAAGTTCGTGGACCGCCCGATGGCCATTCCGATTCACGTGCCCGTGGCCATACACATGCCCATGCCACCCGGTCACTCCTCCCTGGCCTTCGCCCACCACGGCCATCCCAATGCCCTGACTCCCTGGGCCCACTCCGTGGCCCACATTCCGCCGAAGGTGCTGCAGAACTACTACACGCGGATGCTCAAGAAGCTGTTGCCCCAACTGACGGCCAAGGCCCCAGCTGCCCCGCAATCCCCCAAGGCGGTGAAATTGAGCAAGCCGGTGGCAGCCATTAAGCAGCCGGTGAAGCCCGTGAGGGGAGAGGCGCCCAAGGTGGCCACCTTCAGTTTGGCCGACATGAAGTTCGACCTTCGCCCACCGCCGCCGCCGCAGGGTTCGCCTTGGCTGCAGGGTGCCCGCTACATCTACAACACCCTGCCCGTCGACCTGGCCACCGCCGCCGCCTCCTCGGCTCCCGTCCAGATGGTCAAATCCTACATTGGCCCCGTTCCAGCCACCACCTCCTCCGTTTCGGGCCCCGGCGATGCCCCGCTGACCAGCGAGTTCGATGAGTTCCAGCGATGGCGCAACGGGCACTCACTGAAACGCAGTCCCGACTTCGGGCGCAACCTTCAACTGGAGTACGGATTCAAGCCCCCTTTGGTGCCGTCCATGGAAATCGACGATAAGGGGAATCCCCTCAAGCAGGCGGAACAATCGGAGACGCAGTGATGGAATATGAGTGAAGAGCAAAGAGTGCGGAGACAAAAGCGTGCCAAAATATAAAGATATAGTATCTATTTATGTAACATATTTAAAACAAAGCATTTAATAAAATTATATTACACTTTATAATGCCAAGCCACTCTATTTTACACAAATTACAAACAGTTGATGAAAACCATTTGTATCACTGTTTTTATATTCTTGCAGAGGGTATTGTAATTTCAGTCAGAACTTTGCAACGCAGTGAAGGTGACGTGTTCAAACCTTTAAAGTAACATATACCTTCCATAAGAACAATCGAAATATTTCAAAAAATATTTTAAAAAATGTAACTTCTCAATTTTTTAATTTTTTTAAGTAGTAATTTGATAGTGCAGAACTACGTTTTTTATATTATTAATTTATCTGTCATAGAAACAACCGATGTTTTAGTTTTTGCAATACCTACAAGGGAAAATAAACATCGGCTTACCAAACTTTACTTCTCTTCTTGTTAAAAGTAAATTTTATTTAATTTCTTAAATTTAATCTTAATTTCTCAATTTAGTGAAACAATTTTCAGACGTCTTATATACTGTAAGCTGCGGATAACATCACAATTTAAAGCCTGAATTGTAAAACATGTTTATAAATATACGGGATAATCATTTTATTCATAAATAAATAATCGTGAATTATCTGCTCAGCAATTCAGTTCACTTCCAAGTAGTACAACTGTTTCTAGAATCCTTTTTTATATTTTTGTGATTATAAAACTCCTACCTAACTGTGGAGAACAAATCTCAGTCGAAGCCCACGCAGCACTTTGCAAATTGCCGACGAGACCCCAAGAAAAGTACACATGTGGCAGTCTGCATGTAAATGCTTAACTTAAATACATATATATGGCCCCTGCTTAGGGGAAATATTAATTAAACAAATGACAGTGAGAGCCCTGACATTTAGCCGGAGACGAGACTGTACCCAATTAGGGGCTGGGCCTCGCATAAAAATTATGAATTTCCTTAAGTAACATTCATGCAAATGAAAAATGCCCCCAAGAAAGTAAAAAGGGGTTCTCCTTAATCTCCCTTATCTACCCATGAACAGGCGCCACGCCCCTCCAATTTGGGGGCGCACACGTTTCGCATTCGGGTGCCCAAGTGCAAAGATTTATATGACAGCTAATAAATTTACAACACATGTAGCGCCCAGCAGATATTAGGAGATACGAGTCTTTTTCGGTGACAAGCCAAGGCCTCGCACGTCTCGAGTTTTGAATGTTATTGAAGCGTGTTTTCGCAGGGCCAAAAATAACAGCCTTGCAAATGTTTGCGCAGCCAGTCGAAGAGCACGTCTGTGCGAAATGCGAACTACGAACTGAGAACTGAGAACTGCGAAGCTGCAGTTGACATTTGACATTTGGGAGGCGCCGGGCGGGACAATGAGTGGGTGGGACCATTGGTGGGAGCGGGGGACAATTGGTGGGAGGGAGGTGCAGAAAAACCGTTTAGCACACGTGTCGAACGGCAACGGAAGCCAAAACTCTGCAGACAATTGGAAACTGCAAGGAGCCGAGTGGCTAAAAAAATGTATTAGTTTTTTTTTTTTTGAGGCCAGTACGCCTGCTTCTTAAACTAATAAACTTTTTGCGACTAAATAAATTGAAGTTTTTAGTGTGATCTCAGGAACAAAAAATTAAACACTTCGATGTTTTGTAGTATCAGAAACAAAAATTTTATTTAAATTGTCTTGGGACATATAAACAGGTTTATTGTATTCGTTAAAAAATATATAACAAGTAAAAGGAAGCCTTTCTGACCCTATTAAGTATACAAATTCTTGATCGGATTGTAATTTTGAAATTGGTTAGCTGAGTAACGGATATCTCGTCTATAGCTTGTATTCTTATTATTTTGTAATTATCTTAAAAGTTCTTAAAAGTCGGGCAATACATTTTAGATCACAATGTCTGTTTTGTTTATTTGCAAGCATGGTATGAGTGTACACGTTGGATAAGTTAACTTCTTTTGAGCATTAGCTCAAGTATAAAATCTTGATTTCCTAATTAGCCGTTTGATAGGAGCTTAAATAGTTTGAGCAGCTTCTTCAATGCAATAATTAATTTTAATCGTTGCAGCAAATATTGTATATTTTAAGCCAAATTAATTTAACAAATATATTCAAAGCAGCTATTCAGAATATCATTTGTTATTTATTTATTGATTGTACGAACTTCTTTGAGTCATAAATAAATCATGTTTAATTAGTGAGCACAGCAATATTCTTAAATGCGAATTAATCAACAGCATATCGAACTCTGCTTAAACTCCTTTCATTTTTGCACTGCCAAAAGTTCAGTAAATTCTGGACAACATTTGCCGAATTCGGAATCGTAAATCAAAAATTGTTTAATGCCACGCCCACAGATATCAAAAATCAATTGCGATTGCAATTGCAAATGCATTCTCGGCACTTGATAGACTCCCCGCCGGGGGGTCAGAAACGGAAGCCAGCCAACAAGAAAGATAAGCAAGGGAACAATTGAATAATTTATATGCAAATAAATAAAAGTACTTTCGGGCACAAAGAGCTTTGGCAGAAAGCGAGCAAAAAGCGTGTGAATATATATTCTCCGATCTGGCCACAAAAGGCGTGACACACGCTACAGCGGCCGATTCCAGGAGTTGGCTTTTTTTGGCGGCCTTCGGAGGCCTCCACCTATTGGCCCAACCCCCAACCACCACCCACCAACTACCACCCACCATCCAACACCCCCAAAAAGCTGTCGGCCTTTTCTGGTTTGGCTGAACGCTCGCTGCATGTCATTGTCAGGGGCTGCCAACTCTGCATTTGATATACGATGTGTTGGCAAGCCGCCCAAGTTGGCGGCATACCGCGGGCAGGGGGCGTGGCACTGCGAGACAAATGCAGCTGAACCGAAAATTGCATTTCCGCTTTGGAAATTGCGCAAACTTCCGCAAGCGAGCGGGGGGACAAAAAAAAAATGCGAACGTCGCCAGACAATTGGCAAAAATTGTCTATAAAAGTGTGAAATAGGCCGTCACCCCTTGGCCCACAAAAGTGGGGTTGGTGGGTGCTGGAAGGTGGAAGCTGGAAGCTGACAAGCCGTAAAGTGGCCCCACTGAACCACAGAAAACTTGTCACACAAAAGTGAACGCCAAAAATGTCAAAAGCACACAAAGATAAGGCGTGAAAAGCAGGAAACTCTAAAGGGAAATGGCATAAGAACGAATGAATGCAGTCGCAATTGCACAGAGATGTCTGGGGTACCACAAAAAAAAAAAACGATTCTAAGCCAATTCCCTTTTTTAGTAGTTCTAGAACCATTTTGCTAATTTATACTATTGCTGCCATATAAAAAATTCCTATAGCCCACTAGCCATTACAAATCCCAGGGTAAAAACGCAGGTTTCACTTGACAAGGGTGTTAGTTTCCGTGTCGCTTAGCTCGCTAATGGGCGGAAATTCCTGCGGCTGGCAAATCGATCCCCGTACAAAAAACCTCAAATAGGTAAAGGTGTGGCTAAGAGACCAGCAAATATTTGCGCAAGCACTTCGTCTAGACTGGGATTTCTACTTGCCATTGGCAGGCCAACAAACAAATAAATTCTAACACTTACCAGGCGACAACCGCAAGCAAACAGGAAACCAGTAGAAATTCTATTCAATCAGGAAAGATTCAAGTCGCCTGCACGTACATACAGGGCAAACAATCATAACTTTGCCGCATTGGAAAAACTAAGCAGCGGCCAACAATAGTCGTCTGGGGAAAAACGTGAAAACATGGATCTCAAACGAATAGTTTAAATGTGAAATCAAATAAGTTTTTTTGAGCTTTGGTTAGTTTGAAAACGATCCAAAGTCTGTTAACAGAGCCACACGAGCTGTTAACGGATGGTTGGCCTAAAAGTATTCAACACAAAAATAAAACTCGGTACTTTTAAATGTAAAAAGTAAATAGAGTTACAAAAAACTTAAGTCATTGACATAAAACTGAAAAATAATTCTCTCCGCAGCGCATAAACACTTTTGTTACAAATATTTGGGTTTTAAAATATATTAATCAAATATGTGAGCCAAATAACTTTAAAAATTCATAAAAATAAGCACAGTGGGATCAGCTATAGACCCTCTTAAAATAAACAACCATGGCCAAAAGTGATGCACACGATTAATTCAAATTTGCGAGACATGCTGTAGAGCCCTTTAAATTAAACACCCATGTATCATATGTTATAATTTGATTGAACATTTGTATTCACCTATTTAAGAAAGATACCTTTGTGAAATTAATAAACACAAAAACTAATAACGTAGTTTGCTTTGTAAGCTTTGGCTTCTCATCATTGCTTTTTTCACCCTAATCCTCTGTTGAAGTGAATGCAACACATCGTCGAGATATTAAATGGGGAAATATTTCATTCCGACCCAGCTCACAACACGGCAACAATAAGAATACGCAATCAATGGCTCCCCATTGCAATGAGGAGGTAAAAACTAATCAAAAACCTCAATTGCAGTGCTGAAATAAATGCAGAAGCAAAATATTGGCAAGTCTGTGGGAGAAAGCTCCGAAGAAGCAGACTTTATTGTATCCACAGCAGCAGCAACAACAATTAGAGCAAGTTGCATTGTAGTTTAAGGAAGTAGAAGCAATAAATACCCTTCTAAACTCATGTTTTCTGAGTGATACAAACGTTTAGTGAAAATCTAAATATTTGTGTTGTACAAGAGCTTTACCAAACTTTTCCAGAGAGTTTAGCAGGCTTTACATATTTACAGCCCTCTGAGCTCTTTACCCAAATGGCCATCTTATAAATAATAACTTTAGGGTATATTAAGAAGACATGGAAACGGACTTCCAGCTGGGATTGAAAAAGTAGTCTGATGCTGATGATAATAATCATAGCCCCAATAAAAACCATCCCGGTTGCCGAGAAAATTATTATAGGCAGCCAACGCAAAGCTGGCCGAGGAATTTCAATCAGTGGCTAAGACGATGGCAGCAGCAACTTTGTGATTGCATAACTGCGTTGCGGCC